CTGTCATGTATCCATTGATTACTGGCAAAATATACCTAGATATACTGTGTGTGTGTGTTTATATATATATATATATACACACACACACAGTATATCTAGGTATATATATCCAGAGAGAACTCTGTGCAAAAATAGCTTTTATTTGCTCATTGAAAAAATTAGCATTCTGAAAAACAGTTTGAGATCTGAACAAAATGGATATGTGATATTCTTTTAACCAGAAGACTTTGATGTTTAAATTTTCAGGTAAATATCTAAAGCTGCCCACATGATGTGGTTAGAGATGAGCGAATTTCTCAAAAATTCGATTCGGCTGATTCGGCGAATTCCAGTGTGAAATTCGATTCGATGCGAATTTCTTCGCTACGAAGATGACATATAAAAAGGGTTTCTAGGCTTCAGAGAGCCTTTAAATTAGTGCAGAACACTGTACCTTTAATTTAAATGCCCTTGGAGATGAGGAAAGAGAAGGAGAAGGAGAAGGAGAAGGATGAGAAGAAGGAGAAGGAGAAGGATGAGAAGAAGGAGAAGGAGAAGGATGAGAAGAAGGAGAAGGAGAAGGATGAGAAGAAGGAGAAGGATGAGAAGAAGGAGAAGGAGAAGGAGAAGGATGAGAAGAGGGGAAGGAGAAGGATGAGGAGAAGGAGAAGGATGAGAAGAAGGAGAAGGATGAGAAGTAGGAGAAGGAGAAGGATGAGAAGAAGGAGAAGGATGAGAAGAAGGAGAAGGAGAAGGATGAGAAGATGGAGAAGGAGAAGGATGAGAAGAAGGAGAAGGAGAAGGATGAGAAGAAGGAGAAGGAGAAGGATGAGAAGAAGGAGAAGGATGAGAAGAAGGAGAAGGATGAGGAGAAGGAGAAGGATGAGAAGAAGGAGAAGGATGAGAAGAAGGAGAAGGATGAGAAGAAGGAGAAGGATGAGAAGAAGGAGAAGGAGAAGAGAAGGAGAAGGAGAAGGAGAAGGATGAGAAGAAGGAGAAGGATGAGAAGAAGGAGAAGGATGAGAAGAAGGAGAAGGAGAAGGAGAAGCAGAAGGAGAAGGATGAGAAGAAGGAAAAGGAGAAGGATGAGAAGATGGAGAAGGAGAAGGATGAGAAGAAGGAGAAGGAGAAGGATGAGAAGAAGGAGAAGGAGAAGGATGAGAAGATGGAGAAGGAGAAGGATGAGAAGAAGGAGAGAAGGATGAGAAGAAGGAGAAGGAGAAGGATGAGAAGAAGGAGAAGGAGAAGGATGAGAAGAAGGAGAAGGAGAAGGATGAGAAGAAGGAGAAGGAGAAGGATGAGAAGAAGGAGAAGGAGAAGGATGAGAAGAAGGAGAAGGATGAGAGGAGAAGGAGAAGGAGAAGGATGAGAAGAAGGAGAATGAGAGAAGGATGAGAAGAAGGAGAAGAGAAGGATGAGAAGAAGGATGAGAAGAAGGATGAGAAGAAGGATGAGAAGAAGGAGAAGGATGAGAAGAAGGACAGTTCTGTGACAGTTTCTGTCTATTTCTGACAGTTCTGGGACATTCACTCCATACAGCTGTTTCAACCGCTGTATGGAGGGAATGTCATGGAACTGTCAGAAATAGTCTATTTCTGACAGTTCTGGGACATTCACTCCATACAGCTGTTTCAACCGCTGTATGGAGGGAATGTCATGGAACTGTCAGAAATAGACTATTAATGACAGTTCTGGGACTCTGACAGTTCCATGACATTCCCTTCATACAGCGGTTGAAACAGCTGTATGGAGTGAATGTCCCAGAACTGTCATTAATAGTCTATTTCTGACAGTTCCATGACATTCCCTCCATACAGCGGTTGAAACAGCTGTATGGAGTGAATGTCCCAGAACTGTCAGAAATAGTCTATTTCTGACAGTTCTGGGACTGTCCTTCCATACAGCGGTTGAAACATTGTATGTATTTGTTTCCATAAATGGATCCATTTATGGAAACAAAATACATACAATGTTTCAACCGCTGTATGGAAGGACAGTCCCAGAACTGTCATTAATAGTCTATTTCTGACAGTTCCATGACATTCCCTCCATACAGCGGTTGAAACAGCTGTATGGAGTGTGATTGTCCCAGAACTGGGAAACAAATACATATTCGACTCGAATTCCGGTTCGCCTGGTTCGATTCGCTCATCTCTAGATGTGGTATTTTGTAATCAACAATAGTGCAGTGCTATGCAAATTACAACAGTGTTAAATCATTGACACAAACATGTGCATCACATACTTAAAGGTGCATAGAAAGTAATAAACCAAAAGTCCCAATGAAGAGCCAAAAGGTAAACCAAGGGATCTTCTCTGTATGTGACAGGAAGAAGACTCTCAACAGCCTGTGATCTTCCCTGTACTGAAACCATGCACCACCTCAGTGTGTATAAGAGGGGAGCTTACTGGAATTGATTGACCCCCAATATGAGTGGTCAAACAGCGCTCTATATACTCCACAGAACATCCAGCTTCTCCCAAGGAACTTGTCATACATCCGCACCTCTATATACCCACGGGCAGGGGCGGACTGACCATTTGGAAACTCAGGCACTGCCCGAGGGCTTGGGGTCAGTAGGGGGCCCCATGAGATGCCCCTGGTACCTTTTTTTCATAGGCGTTTTTGAGTTTGGGCAAGGACACAGGGGCCCCATGATCCCCTATTGCCCGGGGGCCCCATGAGTTGTCAGTCCGCCCCTGCCCACGGGTCAGCGTGTAATAGGACTCTGAATGAATGCATATCAAATAAGAAATGCTCACCATAGTGTGAAACAGTAAATGATAAAATGTTTTAATAGGTATATGTACATACACTAGAAAGGAAATAAAAAGATGCTTCACATCATGTGTATACTCCATTTTCCAAAAAGCGAGGTGGCTACAGCTGATTTGCGCATGCGCAGTGGCGTGTTCCAGCTCCTTCCAATGCGTTTTGTCAGAAATGATGTCATCAGGGGCATGGGAGACACGCCGCCACCACTTTCCATTTATAAACAACAACACCAGGAGAATTACAATCTGATTGCAGCAAAGCACATCGGGCATGTTGTAACAATTAACAAAAATAATCAAGTGCGGGGCAACCCAATGTGGAAATTTATACATAAAAAAATAATAATGCGAGCATATCTGCAATGTCAATAAAGTGAATGTCCATGAACTCCATGTGATAGAAGCTGTTCCCATACACCACTCTGTGATTCTGTATAATCCTGGTATTCCACAATGTGTGACAAACCACCTTCACCAAAAGAATTACCGCCTACCTTTATTAATTGACCCATGAGCCAACAGGTAGTCACATGGGCTTTCCCTTTAAGGGCATATAGAAGCTCAAGTTTAGTTCTTCAGCATCCCAGTACATTCCCAGTATTAATCGATTATGCAATAGAAAAAAGAGAGCCCATAGTGTTCTCCATATAACACATTTAATGAAAGAAATAGAAATACACTTACAATAAAAAGCACTCCACTGTGCGGGTTTACAAGCTTAATGATCAGCGCTACCACAGTAAGGTAAGATGGCCACGGGATGACATCATATGCATGGCAACGCCTCCCCCCCCCCACACACACGCCTATCATCCAAAGGTGGGACTTCCTCAGTAGGTGTGGAGCAGACGCAAACCCGATCCTATATACCCTCCCCACTGGTCAGATGACAAGAAATACCGCTCCACAATGACCGGAACTATCAGAACGGAAGTAAGCTAAAAACAGACTTCCACATTATGGTTGAACTGGATGGACTTTTGTCTTTTTTCAGCCAGACTAACTATGTAACATGGGGACACTGTCACAGGCCACCCAAATATAAATACATTTACAATATAAAAATATAAAATCAAGCAATCACGCACCATCTTCAAATGGTGATCTAACTCATTTGAAGATAGACATTGATTTTGGCTTTACTATTGGTGCTTGTGGCATCTTATAGCACTAATTTTTGCAAAAGAAATTTAGCAGTTTCGTGTTTTGTTGATTTAACCACTTACCCTCCATAGGATTTACCCCCTTTCCTAACCAGGCCATTTTTTGCTATACGGCGATACCTTACTTTAACTGACAATTGCGTGATCATGCAATGCCACACCCAGATGAAATATCCTTTTTTTCCCCACGAATTGAGCTTTCTTTTGGTGGTATTTGATCGCCTGTGCATTTTTTATTTAGAGCCATAAGTAAAAAAGACTGACAATTTTGAGAAAAAAAACTGTATTTTGAACTTTTTGTTATTAAACATGTCCAGTAAAAAAATTTAATAAAATAAATTTCGTCATAGATTTAGGGTAAAATGTATTCTGCTACATGTCTTTGCTAGAAACAAAATCCCTATACGTGTAAATTAATTGGTTTCCGTGAAAGTCATAGCGTTTACAAATGGCGGTATAGATACTGGGATTTTTTTTTTCCTACTAGTAATGGTGGCGATCAGTGAATTTTAGTGGGGCTGTGGGACTGCGGGACTGCGGCGGGCATTCTGACACTGGGGAGGAACTAACTTGGTGTCACTGACATCCTCAGTGACACCAATACAGTGATCAGTGCAAAAAACAGCACTGGCACTGTACTAATGACACTGGGCAGGAAGGTGTTAATGCGAGGGCGATCAAAGCGTTAACTGTGTGTAGGGAGTGTTTTACTAGGGGGTGCGGGGTGTGTGCTTCACTGCAGTGGCCCGCACCGGGTGACACCGACCGCATAGGGTGACACCAGACACGCTCCACAAAAAGGTAAGTTGTAAAGAAAGCCGATGATCCCCACAGGATGGATCTGATCTGCAGATTGAGCATAATGGATCGCAGTCTCTGGTCATCTCCTGTACTATGTCCGCAGTCTCTGGTCATCCCTGTACTGTGTCCGTAGTCTCTGGTCATCTCCTGTACTATGTCCGCAGTCTCTGGTCATCTCCTGTACTATGTCCGCAGTTTCTGGTCATCTCCTGTACTGTGTCCGCAGTCTCTGGTCATCTCCTGTACTATGTCCACAGTCTCTGGTCATCTCCTGTACTGTGTCCGCAGTCTCTGGTCATCTCCTGTACTGTGTCCGCAGTCTCTGGTCATCTCCTGTACTGTGTCCGCAGTCTCTGGTCATCTCCTGTACTATGTCCGCAGTCTCTGGTCATCTCCTGTACTGTGTCCGCAGTCTCTGGTCATCTCCTGTACTATGTCCGCAGTCTCTGGTCATCTCCTGTACTATGTCCGCAGTCTCTGGTCATCCCCTGTACTGTGTCCGTAGTCTCTGGTCATCTCCTGTACTATGTCCGCAGTCTCTGGTCATCTCCTGTACTATGTCCGCAGTTTCTGGTCATCTCCTGTACTGTGTCCGCAGTCTCTGGTCATCTCCTGTACTATGTCCACAGTCTCTGGTCATCTCCTGTACTGTGTCCGCAGTCTCTGGTCATCTCCTGTACTGTGTCCGCAGTCTCTGGTCATCTCCTGTACTGTGTCCGCAGTCTCTGGTCATCTACTGTGTACTGTGTCCGCAGTCTCTGGTCATCTCCTGTACTGTGTCCGCAGTCTCTGGTCATCTCCTGTACTATGTCCGCAGTCTCTGGTCATCTCCTGTACTATGTCCGCAGTCTCTGGTCATCTCCTGTACTATGTCGCAGTCTCTGGTCATCTCCTGTATTATGTCTGTAGTCTCTGGTCATCTCCTGTACTATGTCCGCAGTCTCTGGTCATCTGTACTATGTCCGCAGTCTCTGGTCATCTCCTGTACTATGTCCGCAGTCTCTGGTCATCTCCTGTACTATGTCCACAGTCTCTGGTCATCTCCTGTACTATGTCCGCAGTCTCTGGTCATCTCCTGTATTATGTCCGCAGTCTCTTGTCATCTCCTGTACTATGTCCGCAGTCTCTGGTCATCTGTACTATGTCCGCAGTCTCTGGTCATCTCCTGTACTATGTCCGCAGTCTCTGGTCATCTCCTGTACTATGTCCGCAGTCACTGGTCATCTCCTGTACTATGTCCGCAGTCTCTGGTCATCTCCTGTACTATGTCCGCAGTCTCTAGTCATCTGTACTATGTCTGCACTCTGGTCATCTCCTGTACTATGTCCGCAGTCTCTGGTCATCTCCTGTACTATGTCCGCAGTCTCTGGTCACCTCCTGTACTGTGTCCGCAGTCTCTAATCACCTGTACTATGTCTGCACTCTGGTCATCTCCTGTTCTATGTCCACAGTCTCTGGTCATCTCCTGTACTATGTCTGCAGTCTCTGGTCATCCCCTGTACTATGTCCGCAGTCTCTGGTCATCTCCTGTACTATGTCTGCAGTCTCTGGTCATCTCCTGTACTATGTCTGCAGTCTCTGGTCATCTCCTGTACTATGTCCGCAGTCTCTGGTCATCTCATGTACTACGTCAACAGTCTCTGGTCATCTCCAATACTATGCCTACAGTCTCTGGACATCTATAGTATGTCCACAATCTCTGGTCATCTTCTGTACTATGTCTGCAATCTCTGGTCATCTCCTGTACTATGTCTGCAGTCTCTGGTCTTCTCCTGTACTATGTCCGCAGTCTCTGGTCATCCCCTGTACTATGTCCGCAGTCTCTGGTCATCTCCTGTAGTATGTCCGCTGTCTCTGGTCATCTCCTGTACTATGTCTGCAGTCTCTGGTCATCTCCTGTACTGTGTCCGCAGTCTCTGGTCATCTCCTGTACTATATCTGCAGTCTCTGGTCATCTCCTGTACTATGTCTACTGCAGACATAGTTGGTTCAGAATTTTTTTTTTCTTGTTTTCCTCCTCTAAAATATAGGTGGGTCTTATCGTCAGGTGCGTCTTATAGAGCGAAAAATACGGTATATATATATATAAATATATATACATTGTCTTGTTGTTTGTATTGTCTTCTTAATTAAAAATACAATGCAAACCTCTTAAAACTGCATCCATTCTGTGACAGTGAAAGTTCAACTTAATAATAACTGGTCTGAAGTAAGGGGCTATGCTTGCAGAGTATACCTACTCATGAGATGACAGCTGCCTAATTGCTACTGTCCTTCCATCCCCTTTCTGTTTTAAGAAGTGCCAGCAGAAGCACCTAATACCACTTTCCCCTGATATCTCCTCTGGGGCAGCAAACATGTCACACATCTAAGCTTAACTGTCACGTTTGTTCCTTGAGCAGCAGAGACCATTGCCTGAGGCCAATGACAAGTTCAACCACCACTGAATATCTATAGGTACCCTTAGTAAGTAATAGTAATCAGATACATATACTAAGCAGTTAATTTTAGCTTTCTTTTCTGCTACAGTTTGTCCAGAGAAGCTAATTATCACATCCAGTGAAGTGGAACACAAGATAACAATGCTAATGTGGCATGAGTGTACAGCTCAAGGTTAAAGATATGAAGTATAATGTGTTTAAGAAATTTCCTCGTACTCATTCAGAAACCACAAATATTTCAGCCAGATTCCTGGTAAACACAGCGTTTATTAGATTTTAATATTAAATATTAGTTTACACAGTTGTTTTAATTTTTTTGGAGCAAAATTCCATGGTGAGCTAAACAAATTGTGTTGATTATTCCTGTGCAATTGTATGCATAATGCTTTTTTGTCTCTGATGCTGCAACATCCTGTACTATAAAGACCCCACAATCAAACTAGACTCCATATTTCACCAGCTTTTAAAATCTGCTTTTACCCAGTAAAAAAGAATTCCATGTAGTGTGGTCCTTTACTGTGCAATAATGGAAAAAAAAGAAAAATTAACACTGAAGATACTTAAGTTAGTAAAATGTGATAAGTCGAAAATGAAAGATTTACTGGTATACCGGTACAGTATCCTGGAATGTATGCATCTATGATGCTATACTGATAATGGTGGTGATCAGTGACTTATAGTGGGACTGTGATAGTGTGGTGGGAAATCTTGCGCTAGCTGACATTGGTTGGGAGGTACACTAACTGACACTGACATAAATAGTGACACTAATTTAGTGATCAGTGTTAATACTGTAAACTGTCACTGTACTAATGACACTGGCAGGGAAGGGGTTAACATCTAGGGGCAATCAAGGGGTTAACTGTGTGCCTAAAAAAATGTGTGTAATGTGTACTGCTTTTACTTTACTATATACAAAGCAGGGGAAAAACAGCCAGATCACTATACCCTGTACACAGTCCTGTTTTGTTTTGATTTGGCTGAAATCAGGTGCCAAACTCACACTGTGTCCATTCACAGCACGGACCAGCAGGGGGCACACCTATGTGCCCCCAGACCCAGAAGAAGGCAGTTATGTATTCTGGCCATTTTAGTGGCAAGGGACAATAAAACAAAGAGCACGGGAAGCTGGGTGCTGGCATGGGGGATATGTTCAAATTCAAACAAATATATAAATATATAGAAAAAATACTGCACTGCAGAGAAAAGGTCCTTTTGTTTATGCAACTTTGAGAGTAACATGGGGGAAAACACCTTTCCTTTTAGTTACATGGGTTAAAGATGCTTTGAATCTGTATGTGGTGAACCAGTTCAGTTCTCATGGACAGCATTCACCGACCCCATATTCTAGCATCTCTTTTGTAGACAAACTTCATAAACTTCACTTACTTACATTATTACTTGGCTTTAATACAGCAGAACCCAATCTGATTCAATTCGACTTAAAGTGGAACTCCACCCACAAAATAGTTCTGCTTTTAGTCCTCACCTGCCACATTTGATTTGTCTTTTGTGTGTGTGTGTGTGTGGGGGGGGGGAGTTGGGTACCTAATTTGGAAATTTCTTCTCTCCCCGCAGTCTTCTGGGACATGTCACAGATCCCAGAAGACTGCAGAACCATTCAAAAAGGGCAGTGTGGCTCAACCATGCACAGTCAGCAGCCAGCTGAGGAGCCAAAAGCAGCATAGCCAGCTGCCCACAGTTAGGATACCAGAGCTGAGTACCTGAAGGCTAGTGCAGAACTAGCCCAGGTGAGGATGGCACTGGATCCCTAGCAAGTAAGAGTACTTTTATTTACAGGATTTGCAGCTGCTGACTTTTATTTTTTATTTTTCCAGAGTGAACATCCTCTTTAGGAAAAAAGGCTTTTTTTTAAGGTGGATTTGACTGTGGCACCTTTTTTTTTTATCTAGAGATATGGCAGCTACAACAGACCTAAAAGATATAGGAAAGTTTACACTTAAAAATATAAAGCCCTCAACTTCATACCAATAGTTAAAAAAGCAAAAAAATATTTATAGTATAGCTTGTGATCTTTTGCACTACTCTTTGTATTGTCTAAAAAGCTTAGAGAGAGCACAAAATCACTTGAAAACCACAACCCCTTTCCAGAGATGAAGCACTTTCTATCCTGAAACAAAAATTGGAGTGTATTATTTCAGATATAAAAGCCAACCATATAGTACAGTGGCTAGTACAGTATATAAAGGTTTTGAAAATGGAAAAAGGCAGAGATGGGGAAGTTTTCATCATAAAATAAAAATAAGAGTGTATTATTTCAAAGACAGTAGCCAGAATTTTCTTTACAGCCAATGAACCATATGTAAGGAGCTTTATTAGCCCACCATTAAAGGGAGATAGACAAGATAGTGTTTTATCTTCAAATAAAATGTGAGTATATTGGGCTCCATTCACTTAAGCAGATCACATGCGGTATTTAGATGTCCAGACACATTTTCCCTAAATATCACATGGGATCCTGAAACTGTCCATTCACTATGTCGTTTTGTGGTAGTTCTCAAAAAATGCTTAGTAAATACCGAATGAAAAGGCCTTGTGGTCAATTCAAAAAAGGAAATAAATTATTAAATGTATGAGTTAAATAAGTAGTGATCCAGCCATGCGGTATTCAAGGAATGTAAACATACAATAGTCAATTTGGAGAAGTCACTACCTTTTTGGATCAGTTCTGTCAACAGTAAGGCATAGAAACCTAATATGGAAAAACACAGAATCATTGAGGTTGTTACTTATAATATAACTAAAGGCAAAGTTTTTTTTAGTTTTGGACAGAGTGGAGATGGATTAGAACCCCTATCAGGTTGTTATTGCTATCTGTGCCCCCGTTAGGAAGATTCACCTTTTCTATTTGTCCTGTTTACCATTATCATTGAAAGTGACAGTAAAAGAAAATCCCAAATTTTGGATTGTCCCCAGAAAAGTATAGAGGGGAAACCTTCCAATGGGGACACTGGTTCTGGTGACCCGGGGGTCCCAAAGTATTCCTTTAATGTGTAGGAATTTCCTCTCACTTCCTGTTTTGGCTATGGGACAGAAAGTAAAGGTAAATCTCACCAATGGGACACGAGTGGCAAAAAAAAAAAAAACAGACAGGGGTTATAACTCTCCCGTACTCTATCCAAAATGAGAAAAAAAGTTGTGCCTATAGTTCTACTTTAACCTCCCTGGCGGTCTAACTAATCAATATTTTTCAATGTCAAAGTGGTACATTGTTTTGCATGTTGTTTTATATTGTAGGCCTGGAATAACTCACTTAAATCTGTCCAAATGAGTCTAGTAAACATTCTGGGTATGATAAAGTTTGAAACACAAAATCAAAAATTATAATATAATAAATAATTATAAAAAATACTAATATAAATAATAAATGTAATTCAATAATGTAATCAAACCAAAAACACTGAAATTTGAAATAGAGCGCCAAGTTCGCACATCACTGAGCTCAGTCGCAGAATCGCCGCTGTTGTCACTTTCAGTGTCTGATGATGAATTTCCCCACGAATCATTATCACCAGGGGCGGTCTGACAGCTCATGGGGCCCCCGGACAATAGGGAATCATGGGGCCCCTGTGTCCTTGCCCAAACTCAAAAAAGCCTATGAAAAAGGTACCAGGGGCATCTCATGGGGCCCCCTACTGAACCTGGGCCCTCGGGCAGTGCTCGAGTTTCCAAATGGTCAGTCCGCCCCTGATTATCACTCAATTCTGCAAGTGGTTCTGATTTACTATCACTGTTCTCTAGCTGGTCTAAAACCTCTTTTGACCTAAAGGGACGCTTTTTGGATGCCATGGAGTTTCTCAGTTTCCAGGCAGAAAGAATAGTGAAAATGCAGGCAGGGCACAGGACAAAGCACTAGGGACAAAAATGTATGTGAAATGGTTTGATACAGTAATGGAATCCTAACAGATTACAATGTATTGTGTGTATGTCATGTTTTTACTTTTTTGAATCTCACGCCGGTTCCGCCCCTTGCATGCTGATGCTCGCAGGGAACGGAACCTGGAAGACAGATGCTGCCATCAGCCGAAGGACATGGTCGGGGACACAGCGGGAGGAAATCGCAGGATCGCAGGACAAGGTAAGGAGAAGCCCGAGTAATCCCGAGTGTGGCTCGGGGTTACCGCTTTTGGTACTGTAAATTAACCCTGAGCTACACTCGAGATTACCGCTAGGGAGGTTAAAGCAAATAGCCAGTGCACTTGATAAATGAGGTAAAACTTCACTTTACAAAGGATACCCAGTAACATGCAAGGAAAATTAAAAAAAAACTAATTTTTGCTTGCACATGATTAGATGATGGAAGTCAGCAGAGCTTCCCCTCACATACTAAGCTCTGGAAAAACTACACTTGCAAAGTGCTCAGTCTTCAGTAAATCCATCCCAATACATTTAATAAATCGACCCCATTGCCTATAGTAAAATATATCTATTTTCTCCTGTCATTTCACCAGATTTTCCAAGACTTTGTGTATATACAAACATATACATCATTTGCTGCAGAAACCACCCAATCACTCCAAACATAAATACAATATACGTGCGTATCACAATGGTCTAATCCCTTGTTAGAACATATGTCATATATGTAGTGGGGATAATTTACTTTTTCACAATTATTTTTTA